CGCACCAACGTGCCTACCGTCCCTGTCCTATTGTTTCTCTTATTCTTCTTTTATTTTTCTTATATGTACCCATTTCATGTATTCACAACTATGTATACACTTATACTTATTATCTTGTAAACAATTGGCAAATCAAATAAATAAAATAAAATAAATAATAAACTGGACTATACAGCAACAGCATCAAGACAAAATAGAAAGACTCTCCCTAAATCCTTTTTCAAGATGATAGATTAATTAAATTTAAAAGATATATGGAGAGAAAGAAATGCTAAAACTCAACAATATACTTTTTATTCAAATAGACATTTATCATGGTCCAGAATAGATATGATTTGGATCTCAACAGAATTAATATCTAATACTCAAGAAATAAATATTGAAACAAGTACATGGGCAGACCATAATCCAATGACAATTAAATGGAAAGGACAAAAAAGAAGATCTAGATGGACATTAAATAATACTATTTTAAAGGAAAAAGACTTCACACAATGGATGGAAAAAGAATTGGCCCTCTTCTTTAGTGAAAATAAAAAAGAAGATACTTCAACACAGAATGTTTGGGATACAATGAAGGCATATGCGAGAGGATTAATAATAGACTATACAAAGAAAAAGAGCATTAGGAAGAGGCAAACCATCAAAGCTCTAGAAGATGACTACAAAAAACTGGAAAAAGAATTACAGAAAATGCCACAGAAAAAAGATATTAAACTCAAAATGGACATAACTAAACATAAAATGGGTCAGGTAGAGAAAGAAGAACTGGCACAAAAAATTAGAAGTGCTAAACAGAACTATTTTGAAGATGTAAATAGGCCAGGTTAGCATATAAACTGAGAAAAGAGAAAGAATCAAGGAAAATACTACAGTTAATAGATGATCAAGGCCAAATGTGCTATGGTAATAAGGAGAAAAAGGCAATTATCCGAGACTTTTATGGAGAACTGAATATGTGCCTACTTCTTAAAAAAGCTATCCACTGCCATAGCCGAACCTTTAAGCATAATCTTTGAAAAATCTTTCAGGACCAGCTCCTTGCCTAACCTAGGGTCACAAGCCACAGTCATCCCCATCTTCAAAAAGGGAGACCCCAGTCTAATTGAAAATTTCAGACCAATCTCTTCATGCTGCATCACCTGTAAAGTCATGGAATCAATTATTAACCAATCCATTATTCTCCACTTAGAGACAAACAACCTACTCTGTAATAAACAATTTGGTTTCAGAAAAAAACTATCCTGTAATCTGCAACTCTTACACTGCAAAAACATATGGACTACACAACTTGATCAGGGCAAAGCAATAGACGCAATCTACATAGACTTCTGTAAAGCCTTTGATTTAGTGGTACACGACAAACTACTCCTAAAACTAAAATCTTATGGTATCTCTGGACAACTGCATAACTGGATAGAAGCATTCCTGTCAAACAGACAACAAATGGTAAAAATTGGGAGTGTCCTATCAAATTCTGTACCTGTCAATAGTGGTGTCCCCCAAGGCAGTGTTCTAGGACCAACTCCCTTCATACTCTACATAAATGACCTTTGTGATCATATTAAGAGCAATTGCATTCTTTTCGCTGATGATGTAAAGCTGTTCAATACCACAGACAATACTGCTACCCTTCAAAAAGATCTTGACTATGTATCAGAATGGTCAAACAAATGGCAACTTCAAATCTCAACAAATAAATGGTCTGTCTTACATATTGGCAAAAAAAATCAGAAAATAAAATACAAGCTGAATAGTCAAGATCTTGTTGATGATCCAAGCTCTGTAAAGGACCTTGGAATACTCATCTCTAATGATCTAAGTGCTAGAGCCCACTGTAACTATATAGCCCAAAAGGCATTAAGAGTTGTTAACCTAATCCTACATAGCTTTTTCTCTAGTAATATCACACTACTAACTAGAGCATACAAAACATTTGCTGGACCAATAGTCGAATACAGCTCATCGGTCTGGAACCCACATTACGTATCTGATATTAGCACAGTTGAGAAAGTCCAGAAATATTTCACAAGAAGAGTTCTCCATTCCTCTACTTGTTGTAGAATACCTTATGCCACCAAACTTGAAATTCTAGAACTAGAAAACCTTGAATTACGCTGTCTTCGGTCTGATCTAAGTATGGTATATAAAATCATACATTGCAATGTCCTACCTGTCAATGAATACTTCAGCTTCAACCATAACAACACAAGAGCACACAATAGATACAAACTCAAGGTTAACTGCACCAAACTTGATTGCAGGAAATACGACTTCAGCAACAGAGTGGTCAATGTCTGGAATACTGTACCTGACTCTGTAGTTTCTTCCCCAAACCCCAAAAACTTTAACCTTAGACTGTCTACTATTGACCTCACCCCTTTCCTAAGAGGTCTGTAGGGGGTGTGCATAAGCGCACCAACGTGCCTACTGTCCCTGTCCTATTGTTTCTTTTATTTTTCTTATATGTACCCATTTCATGTATTCATAACTATGTATATACTTATACCTATTATCTTGTAAGCAATTGACAAATAAAATAAATAAATAAATAAATAAATAAATAAATAAATAAATAAATAAA